TAACAACCTCGAATAGCTTAGATCCGTGAAATCCGGTAACTTTTCTTTGACCCACATTTGTTCGAAGTTAGATTTGGAACACCCACACCTAAGCGAGGTTGTTTTGTAGCGACAGACATTGAAACGAAGCCGTTGGAGGTCGTATTGGACGTTTTTCGCTGCTGCAAAAACGTGGACAGCAACATATTGGTGGCGTTCAGCGATTATCTACATCCGTTTGAAGCCGATTTACGTTACCCACACCTTTGCAAGCTAGATCTAAATTACCCACACCTATACGAAGTCGTTTTGCGGTAACGAGCCCCTTTGAACCCTTTTAAAGTTGTTTTCGAAGGCTGAACGGTACATTTAAATTGCTGTATTTTTCTTTTTTTATTCTTAGGTGTGAGACCGACGCACACCTAAATACGTGGTTGTGTAAGTAGCACCAGGGGGCGAGTGCGTGCGTTGTTTAGCGTTAACAGAATGGTTTTGATGCTGGTTCTTTTTTCTTACTAAAATAATTTAATTGAGCATGTAGGGATTGTTAGTTTTGATTTGAGAACTTCTAGTGATTTTGTTGCCGTCTTTCTATTATTGAACRCTCATGAGGAAACAAGCTTTCTGTTCTTATTGTTRTAGGTGACTTGTAGATTCTGAATTGTTRTGGTTAGAAGTAACTGGCTCACKACGTTTTGCAAATATTTTGTAAATGAAATGCTCRCGGTGTTGAACTGATAATTTATTTTATATTGTTCTAGTTGTGGGCTGTTGGGTGTGTCTTGTTTAATACAAGGAAAAGCATGCTTGTGAATTGTGCAGTGAATTGGAATGTGGGAAATTTACCTGTAGGTGGTCATGGGAGGGTTGGTGCAGGGTGAAGGTAAAGGGACGGGTTGGCAGTCCATTATCTAGGGGTGTTCTGACCCGAAAGTGCAAATAAATCGCTTGGAGGTTCAAAGCCTTGAGTAGTGGCCTTGGGAATAAATGACAAGGCCGAACGTCAAGTTTCTGTAAATGAGTATTGGGGTCTTGGGGATAAATGTCAAGGACCAATACGCTGGGAAGTCATCGGTACCTTGGGGATAAACGGCAAGGACCGGTGCACAGTTCAGGCCTTGGGAATAAATGGCAAGGTCGAACATCAAGTTTCTGTAGAGGAGTATTGAGGCCTTGGGGATAAATGTCAAGGGTCAATGCGACTCGAGGAGTTAGGCTTGAAGGACTAAAGTAGAGTGGTGCTTGYGAAGTAGTGGTGCTAGGCMTTGGGAATAAAYGGCAAGGTCGAACATCAAGTACWGTAAAAGGAGGAGGGGCGGTATCTTKGGAATAAATGTCAAGAGCCGTCATGCCTCGRGAAGATTAAACGGGGAGTAACACAGGAGGGGTGTAGAGGGAGGTTTAGTACTGTGGGACAAGGGCTAGGGAATCATGGTTGTTGTATGTAAAGGTCAAGTTATTGTTCGCTATCTCTCGCTGTCTAGTTAATTGCTTTGCTATCGTTTTGCTTTATATGTTGTGACTGCGAGCATGATTTTTTTTTTGTGTTAGTTAGGAAGTGCTACTTACGGAGTACCTTACGTACTCACCCCCCCTTTTTATCCTTATTTGTTTTCAGGTGTGAACAGGGTCGACCGCGGTGATGACGTGGAGAGGGCTTGACCGAGGAGGGATCACTAGTCGAGTTAGTGAGGATAGAGGGAAGGATTGTTTGGTACGAGTAACGTTGGGGTTGATGTTATTGCTAGGTGTGGACCGAGGAGAAATTTTGAAATCTTTATAACTACTTTATTTTGTTATGGATGTTGCTGGTGAACGCTTCTCTGTTTGTCGTTGGAGTTTAGGTCTACGGTTGTTTTATTTATTTAAGAATTTTAGCCACTGAGGCGGATACGAGATGTCTTTGTTCTTTTTTTTTATTTATTTAATTGCCACAGAGAGCAAAGTTTTGACAGTTTATAAAATTGATATCTCTGGTGGAACGTATGGGAGTCGAAGCTTATTTCATTTAATTTATTTCCCAGGGAGTTGATTGTCTCGTGTTTAGAGTTAAGGTTAGCTAGGTGAATTATTTAGCGTTGCCTAGGATGGTATATAACCTCTTGGGGCGTTACACGTAGCTGGGCCATTGCTCTTCTTTCCTCCAATAAGTCGAGGTTGAGGAGCAGCTCTGCCCCATTTGCTGTGGGCTCGTAATGCTCTACTCTGTCAGATGGCATGCCGATCTCAACCGGGACTACAGCTTCGGAGCCGAAGGCCAGGGAGAACGGGGTCTCTCCCGTCGATTCTCTTTGGGTGGTCCGGTATGACCATAGAACCTCTGGTAGCTCTTCGGCCCACTTGCCTTTCTTGGAATCCAGTCTAAGTTTGATGTCTCGCTTGATGATCTTGTTGACCGCCTCCACCTGCCCATTTGCTGTGCGGGGGACGAGCGAAGGTGACTTATGCCAAGCTTGCTGCAAAAGTCTTTGAACTTTGCGTTGTCAAACTGCTTCCCATTGTCTGTCACAATGGCCTTCGGTATACCAAAGCGACATATGATATTTGTCCATACGAAGGACGTGACTCTGGATTCCGTTATGTGGGAGAGCGCCTCGACCTCGGCCCACTTTGTAAAGTAATCCACAGCAACTACAGCAAACTTTGTCTGGCCTTTGCCTAAAGGGAAAGGACCAATAATATCTACCCCCCACTGCCTGAATGGCCACGAGGCCGAGATGGGGGTAAGCAGCTCGGGAGGTTGGTGGATTACGTTTCCATAGCGTTGGCAATTATCGCAAGTTCTAACGAACTTCTTGGCGTCCTGGCTGAGGGTCGGCCAATAGTATCCTTGTCGGATCACCTTGGCTGACAGCGACCGAGCGCCTGAGTGATTGCCGCACACTCCTTCGTGGACCTCTCTGAGGACGTACAGGCCCTCTTCAGGGGTTAGGCATCTCAATAGAGGCAAGGAAAAGCCACGTCGGTACAATGCCCCATCTCGGACCACGAACCGAGCTACCCGCCATGCCAACTTTCTGCGCTCCTTGGGGTCTTGCGGTGAGTTGCCCCTAATGAAGTCCGCGATCGGGTCCATCCATGAAGATTCTGGAGCGCCGATCTCCATCAGATCTGGCTCTGAGATCGAGGGATTATCTAAGATCTCGACGGGGACCGACCTGGCCAGGTCGGTCTCGTACGCCGATGCTAACTTGGCCAAGGCGTCAGCATTAGAATTTTCTGCTCGCGGAATCCGGCTTACTTCGTAAGTTAGAAACTGGGCGAGGTACGATCTGACCTTGCCCAAATATTTCTCCATCCGGGTGTCTTTGGCTTGGTACTCGTCCTTGATCTGGCTCACAACCAGCTGGGAGTCATTGAAGACCTTAACA